TTTGGCTATTAGGAACTTTGCGTATACTTGGATTGAAAAGACATGCATGCACGATTATGACATCAAGATGATACTTAGTTCGTGGCCTGCATCGAGGACGTGCGGTAATCATTTGTCTTTCTGTACATTCAATTATTTCAATATAGGAGTTGTCATTTTTATCAATATAAGATTTTGAGAATTAAATGGAATGATGTAGATTTTTGGTGTATAAAATGTAGGTTTGCTTTATCATATTTTGACCATTTTTTTTTAAATATGCTAAAGCAATTTTTTAAGAAAAAAACCCGACCTTTGTGTGCTTGTTTCGCGACAGAAGTTGGCCAATGTATATATAGGTACAATTTACTATTTAAAATTGTTTCCCATGACAAACTTAGTATGGTTAAATAATTATCTATTCGTGCTAGGATTTCACGTAAGATTAATATGTATAATTATAATGCCATTCCAAATTGATATACCTGGTCAAATAGTATATTTGTTGAACGAATTTACTTTCAAAATATAGTGCACAGAACATTTATAGTGATAGTATTTTAACGATATTTATAATTTACGAAGAAAATACCCTAAATAGTTTATGGCTCTCAAAAGTGACGAGCATTGAGTCCCCATGAATATATGTATTATCTTCTAAATTCTCTCCCTCGCACAAAAGTTGCAAGGTACACGGAAAGAAAGTCACATAACTGATAGACCAACAAGTCGCAATTGCTTATAAAATATTATATATTTATATTAGAAATATATTGAAGTAATTTCTTTTTATATGACAAATTCATTTTACAGTTTCAAAATATAATTAATCTGCATTACCCTGCATTCAAAAGAATTTAACCCCGCCACATTCTGTATGTGCCTGTCTGGAGACTGTAATTCAGTGTTGGGTGTTTGTTACTGTGTAACATACATGTATTTGTTTTTTGTTCATTAGGTCGTACATAAATAAGGCCGTTATTTTTCTCTTTGAATATTTTTTAAATTTGTCCTTTGCAGAGGCGGAACCAGGATTTTGGAAATGGGGGAGGGATGAGTAATTTAATTTCGCCGAGCGGAGCGAGGCGAAAAAATTTTTGGACCTTTTTTTGGCTAAAAAACATAAGATAAGTGTAAAATGCACTTTCTTAACGGTTCCTGACGTAGGGCATGTATATTTTATAGTCAAAGTGTAAGGGTTGGACATTTTTTATGCTGTATTCTCCCCATTAATTGTCCATTATAAAATGATTGGATGGATCCAAAGCTTAGTATTAATATATTTGATGCAGAAAAGATCAGTGTGTTATTTCTAGATGCCGAATTGGTCATACTAGAGTGACACACGAGTATCTTTTAAAAAATGAAGATGAACCACAATTTGTACCTTGCAACTGCAAGTATACTATTAACATGTTTTAATTAATTGTATTGACTTTGCTGATATTCGGAAGAAGCATTTCAATGTCAATAATATGTATGATTTATTTAATAATGTTCCATTTACAAATATTGTTTCATTCTTAAAAGAAATTGGAATATATTATAAAATATAAAAAATGTTGTTATATTTAAAACGATTTTAATTTTTATCACGTTATCTTAGTGTTGAATTTTATTTGTAAATAATCAATTTGCTTTAGTCTAGAATTTTAGTTTATTGAAAGACCTTTTGTCTGATTTTAAAAATATACCTTAAATTGTTATAATATTCGAATTAGCTCTCGCCGCGATATAGCCTTTCTGTGCTAATGCGGCGTAAAGCAAACAATAATCAATCAATCAATATATTTGATGTGGGACTTGTCAGTAAAAAATGGACATGGAAAATATCTTTATAAGAAAAGAATTGTCGCATAAACATTAAATACACGGGACATGGCAAAGTTCACGGTCTAGTTTGATTAATCATTTTACAAAAAAAAAGTGCAAGCAATAAGGGGCCGTACGCCCTCTGCGCCCCCCCTCTGGTTCCGCAACTGCTTTGGTGCATCTAAAAGCAGAATTGTTAATTTAGGTGCAATTTAGTCTCTTGTAGAGAGTAGTCTCATCGGCAATCATACCACATCTTTTTATTTTTTATATTGTATAACATGAAGATTTATAAATGATAGATTGTTTGACACCATGTAACCAGTTATTCAAAAACAGTTTCAACAGCATTTAATTGATCAATATCAAATTTTATCAAAACATCTTAAATGATTTAGGAAACCTGTATTCGATTGATTTCTTAAGTATTATAGATAAAAGAGTTATAAACTAAAATAAAATGTCTTATTGTCCGTGACTAATTGTCTGACTTATTGTCCGTGACTAATTGTCTGACCTTTTTGTCCTTGACTTGTTGTCTGTGACTTTTTGTCCGTGCCATTTCGTATGTGACTTTTTGTCCTGTGACTTTGTTTCTGTGATACAGTCATTACAAAAGGGGAACTACCTATTCCTACTTGTGCAAACCCGTTTTCATCCCATCATGCAGTATACTATGGCTTTCCATACAATTTTTACGTAAGCATTTCTTCATTGCTTAGACTGACAACAGAGACTTAGCCATGTGACAGAAGTGAAAATAATGAGACAGAGTAACATATGAATTACATTATTATATTTCAGGGCAGGTTGATAGGCTTCACACCTAGAAAACGAAGACTGAAGTCAGATGCAGTACCAACAGTTTTTGCGTACAACCAAGGCTTAAGAGATGACAATAATTCACAAACAAGAAAAAGAGTGTTGCATGAGGTAAAAATTTCACCATGTTCAAATCTTTTTGACTTATAAATGAATGCGATGTTGGCAGATCAAAAATAAATATTTTAAAGGAAGTGGAGTACAATAACAGCTATTTCATACTAATTTTTAGGAACCTAATTTGGTTTTTGCTTCCAAATATTTAATTAATGACATTAAAATAGAAATGTTTTAACTAATTCTAGCGTAAAAACACAATATTCTACTTCCAGACACTTCCACTTCATTTTAAATTTGGTAAAATGTGTCTCATTGACAATCGTACCACATTCTTATTTATATAAAGCAACTTCAAGTCTTAAAGGTTTGACTACATACCCCGGTTTGAATAGTAGAACAGACTAGTTTCATTTTAAAAATTACCAATGGTCTTTGTACATCTACTATCATTGCCTTATAATGTTCTACTTTATTCCAACAGATGCCACTACCAATTGACAGTGGGGGCAACGATTACAGAGGGAATTCATTTGTGACAGAAAGTAAAGGTATTTAAAGACACATATTAACTCCATATGAAAATCTGCAGGAACTATAGATAAAACTTCCAGTACTTGCATGCGAGTCTAATTGAAATGGAGAGGATACATGTTTAATTATTATTTTCATAATTTAAAACAAGTTAACTTATTAACCAACTGTTGTGATAACAAAGACTCCGAAATGAAGCTGGGTGTACATATGTCTTCTTCTTGCAAGAAAAAAAAAAAGAAAGAAAAAAAAATTAAAAAAAATAAAAACGCACCTAGACTCGTGTCGATATAGACGTCCTCGTGTGTTCACGTTGGAAATCATCATAATACCGTCATTCTATATATTCATTTTTTTTTCTGCATTGTATATTTCGAGTTTAACTACTATATAATGTATTTATTTAATCTGTAGTCACGTCTTGAACATGCATGAAACATTTGCCACTTGAAGCGAGGCAACCAACAATCAATTATCAATCTGACGAACGAATTCCTGATGTTTATTGTGTTTGTAGGTGTAATTTTTTAGAAATTTTCAAATGTGCAATTTTGTCTTTGAACTAACTTTGGTAAAATTATTTCAGAAAACAACATTCCACAGAAAAAAACCAGACATGCTGTGAAAGCTGTAGGGGAAAAGGTCGATGTATTGGTATGTATTCTTAGCTTTTTTTTATTTCACAAGGTAAAGAGACCATTTCATAGATGTTATGGTAATAGATAGTCAGTAGGTTTTTTGATTGGAATTTAATTTTTCTAACTTTTGGAAATACTGACATCTTCATGCATCAATATATAATAGGTCATATGCCGCCTAGAAATTATATGTTTTTGGCTTGTCTACAAATGCTGAATGAACCATGATATATGAAGAACAAGTAACATTTCTGATTCGATTAAGTAATGTCATTTCTTGGTACTGAGTGTGCAATCCTCTTATGTATAAAACCAATTTAGTTCAAACACAACTAAGGAGTATTCAACAATTTGACTGAAATAGATTTGGTTTATTTAAGTTTCTTTATATTTTCTTAGTATTTCCGTCATTGAAAGTCTGGAAAAAGTGATATGCATATCGGTATTATATTTTTTTTTAAATCTGAACCTCAAGGCACTATGCAAGTTGAATTATATATATAAAAAACGGAGATCCTTGATGTGGCATCATTGCCAATGCGATAACAGATCACAAGCTACCAAATGACATAGAAATTAACAACTATAGATCATCATACGGCCTTCAACAACGAGTAAAACCCATATTGCATGTCAACTTAAACGCTTCGAAATGAAAAACAATTCAAACGAGTATGGTAATTTCATTTTATATCCCCATTTTCTTTACAGTCGAAACCCTTAATGGTTGACGTCGGGGTTCAGACATTACCACAACCACAACTTCAAACTGACACCGATTTCGGTACATCCATGACAAACCACAGCTACTTACAGGTCCCTATCTCCTCATCACAACCACTTGACACAGCTTTTATTACTTCGCCTCTGAAAGACCAGGATGCATCCGATGCATCCACGCCTACACCAACATCCAGCCCAGAGAAGCCCGACAGCGACTTATCGTATGTACCTAGCGACGAATCCCGAGACTCAAATCAGTCATCCTCTTCTGACTCCTCGCAACACATCACCACAGAACCTAAGGTTATTGCGTTTGAGAGCTGCCTGAAGTCATTGTTTGCACGAGTTATTTGCACAGACTGTGGAGAACCGATTGCTGCTGACGAATCCGAGATAATCTATAACGGTACTGCCATGAAAGTAAAGTTCCTATGTATGAAAGGTCACCAAACTTCGTGGGAGTCACAACCATTGGTCAACAATAAACCTGCAGGTAATATGATGGTGGCTACAGCTATTATCCTGTCCGGTGAAACCTTCTCAAGAGTATCTCACTTTGCCGAAATACTTTCACTAAAGTTTATTGGATCAACCCAATTTTACAGCTTACAGAAAGACGTCGCCATCCCTGCCATTGACCGCTATTACACCATGCAAAGAGACGTCATTCTGCAACAACTACATGGTAAACATCTCATCCTTGGTGGAGATGGACGCTGTGACAGTCCGGGCTTTTCAGCAAAGTATTGTACATATACGTTCATGGACTCAGCCACCAGCGTCATACCAGACTTCAGTTTAGTTCAAGTCTCCGAGACCACATCATCAAACAAGATGGAATTAATAGGATTTCAGCGGTCCCTTGCCAGCATTGAGGCTGCAGATCTTACCGTTGGAGTCGTAGTTACAGACAGACATGTCCAGATCCGCAAAGCCATGGCAACAGATCACAGTGACAAGAAACATCAGTTTGACGTTTGACACCTTTCAAAGTCAATAAAGAAGAAGATCTTAGCCATAAAGCCAAAGAAGCTACTAAATGAGGTTAAGCCATGGATCCCCTCCATCTGTAATCATATTTGGTACTGCTCCCGACAAGCCGATGGTGATCCTGATAAACTTGAAGAGACATGGAGAAGCCTGCTTTTTCACATTTCCAATAGGCACACATTTCCTGGGAAGATTGTAACACAATGTGGACACCCCCCACTGAGCCCTGATGATATAAGGAAAAAGAAATGGTTGAACCAAGACAGCCAAGTATATGCTGCTTTAGAGAAGGTTGTCACAGACAAGCTTATTCTGCGGGACATACGTCAACTAGATCTTTTTTGCCACACAGGAGCATTGGAAACGTACCACTCCATGATGCTGAAATACTGTCCCAAGCGAATCGAGTTTGAATATGCATCCATGGTTGCCCGTACTCAGTTGGCAGTGGTAGACAACAATGTGAACATCGGAAGAAACCAAAAGACCGATGCCAGTGGCAAACTGTCTTTCGCAACCCGATGTCCCAAGAGTACTGGAAGGTGGACGGCCCGCAAAATATACGAAAAGAAGGATTACGATTTCAAAGCCGATATATTACAGTTTGCAGTCACCAGCCAACAGGAGGGAACCAACAGGAAAACAATTCACCAGCTTAAGTCACTGTCACTGCCAGCAAACATAAGCAAGGACCCTGCGCCGTGTAAGGAAGACCTGGTTGACGATCACAGGTCTCGCTTTTCTTGATCAAATATCTGACAAATTGACAGTTTGTTGAGCGTGATGTTGCATTAATTGATCAACTATCCCTATTGATGCTTTTATTTTGTTTTATATGAAGTCTTATAAATATATATGTATAAACAAGTTTAATAGAGGAAAGAAGTGAAAGTAGTCATTGCTTAATTAGAGGAGATCAAGAGGGGCAGATGGAAGAAAGATGCAAGCCGAAAACGTTTGTGTAAGACTTGAATTATTTTCCATTTGTAATATCTATATTTTAATCATGTACCAAGTCGAATTCCTTGCTTTATTGAAGTAAGTTTCTGGATAGTACAAAATCCGTACATAAATATATATACATGTATAAATAAATTCAGGAAAGTAGTGAACAAAGTCTTTGTAAAATGAGAGGAGATCGAGAGAGTCAGATAGTAAAAATATGCAAAATGAAACCTTTGTGAGAGACTAAGTATTTACCTTTGTAATATCTTTATTTGAATCGTGTACAGTATCATAATTCGTTGATTTATTAATGTTAGGTTTCTGCATCGTATAAAGTTATAATGTAACATGAATAACTATTAGTGTGTTAATTTGTTATTGATTGTGTCAAAAAGAATAAACCTGTATGAAGTACTTCAAACTCCATTGTCTTTCCAAAACGTTTGAGCAGTATAACAACCATAAACGATATAATTACCTCCATTAAAATATAAAATAGAAAATGTGGTATGATTGCCAATGAGATAACTCTCCACAAGAGACAAAATTTCACAGCAGCTATAGATCACCGTACGGCCCTCAACAATGAGCAGGACCAATACCGCATAGTCAGCTGTAAAAGGCCACGAAGTCACAAATGTAAAACAATTCAAACGAGAAAACTAACGGCCTCATCAATGTACAAAAAATGAACGACAAACAAATATGTTACACAGCAACAAACGACAACCAATGATTTGTAAGTCATTTATAAAGGTAATATGTATAAGGGTGAGAGACAGGCCCGGAGACTGGTCGACAGATTAACGTATCCGGGTAGAGTGGCATGTTCTCTTACAAACTTGTTACCTTGTGCAATAGCATGATAAATTTCCAATATCCAGTTCCATGGTCTTGTTTGTAAAAAGGCGAAAGATACCAAAACGGATAGTCATATTCATTAGTAAAAAAACATACTGACAACGTCATGGCAAAAAATAACCAATAAACGATCAAAAGACAAACAAAGGGATAAAAAACACATCATAGAAAACTGGTCTAGATTGCTCACATAGGCGGATCCAGGGGGGGGGGGGGGGGGGGGGGGCTGGGGGCCCGGCCCCCCTTTTCGTGGGAAAAATTTGGTTGATTATATAGGGAATCACTGAAGCACGACTGGAGCGGGCCCCCCTTAGGTCAGTCAGCGGGCCCCACCTTATGAAAAGCTCTGGATCCGCCACTGGCTCAACACAAACCCCACCAAAAACTGGGGATGATCTCAGGTCAAATCATATCAACTTTCCGTGGTACTGTGGTAAACCAAATCTTAATGTTATATACAACAAGCAATCTATAAATTAGACATCAAAGTGAAAGAATTCATATATAGGTTTATTAATACGCAAATAATAAAATTAATCTGAAACATTCTGTGAAAAATTGTATTGGTTAATCGTTTAAATGTCAATTTTAGAACTATTCAGAGTCTGACGTGTCACTATCACATTCTTTGAATCCTTCGTATACCCCATCCAGTGACGGAAACTCGTTTCTAATTATGTTAACTACACAAGCCGGTAGGATAATTCTGTGTTTCTTGCCAAGTGGTTGACCTTTCCTGACCTAACAAACAAACTGACGATAAGCCATTAGTCTGCTTTGCCTGTGAGTAAGTGCGTCTGGAGCTCTCCCTCTATGGCGCTTGTACCTCAGGAAACTAATGTAGCTTGTTTCCAGAACAACGGGGTTTAGACAAACTATTCTAAAATCTGTATTTTCAGTGACACATTCACCCAATTTCATTTTTTCGTCAAATAGCGTAAATTCGTGGCAACAGAAACATTCCGCCGGCAATGGCATGACTATACAGTTTGTACATGAACACCAATTGGTGTCAAACTGGCGAGGGTTGTTTATAATATCCTGCTGTCTAGAATTTTCTGCAGCTTCAATTTGTTGGAGTTCTTCTTCAGTGTACTCTGGTTCTAATATGTACCCAAATTGACCCCACTCGTCAAAATTTGCCTCACTTGGGGAGCTGGATACACTATCAGAACTTTCACTCTCTGAACGAGACATTTCAGCTTAATAGTATAGATTTATTTAAAGGGCTTTATATATAAAACTTTTTTCTTCTTACAAAAACAACCACGTTCCAATCATAAGAAAACAAGAAATTGAGAAAAAGTTAATTGAATAAGTTAATTCGACGTCATTTGATCTAGTATAAAAATTAGCTAGAAGTTATTCTTTATAATTTGATGAGCTTGTGTATTTATAACAATGGTGATTCCATTATTGAAATTCCAGATTATCCAAACTAATATTTGTGTATTCATGTTAAATTTTAAAGGCCTCGGGGTTGAAACCACACATTGATTGAAATAAAATAGACAGCACTTTGCCAGATTTAATCACAAAGAATAAAAAAAAAATAATAATTTTTGTTCGTAATTATTCGATTCCATTCCAATAAGACAAAGTTGACTTTTAAATTGTTCTGTTAACTTTTTTGATATCTTTGTTCAAATAGCAGACGTATTAGTACGTGGTGAGAATTAAAAAAATTGATAAGGAGATTAATTCCTGAATATGTAAATAAAGATCGCTTTGGACGGACCAAATTATGTAATTGCAATTGGTAATTACTATCTATTTCAAATATTCAAGGTCACCGATTCTAATTTAAAATAGTACTATTTTTTATTTCATTTACTCGTGTTTATAAGGACATTATTATTCATAAATTCATTCAATTAAATTAATTCAGTATTTCATTGTTACAAAAAGTTTTCAGTGTTCATAATACATTTAAATTGAGCTTATGCAAAATATTAAAATTCTCCCGTTTATCATTCATACGAAATGTTGTTCACACCTGGAACGGTGAACCGTGACGGCTTAAATTCACTGAGTAAAGATCAAAAGAGTAGAATTACATAATGCTAATCTTTTAATTAACTGGAATTTAACCACGCATTCAACAGGTAGTCACTAAGTGTCTCAGTACAATACACATTGTATTTACCCAGTACTATCGGGAAATGTTTGCTAGACTGAAGTAAAAGGTCAGAATACAAGCATGCATTTGTAATACATTATCAGATATATATGTTTGTTCAAAGTATCCGTCAGAAAAAAAATCATAGAAATATTCTATTGTATGATTTACTTTTATTACTAAAATCATATCAGAAATCCTTAAATATAAATAGAACATTTTTAGTTTTAAAAGTTGCACGGCTGACACTTTACTTTCTTAATTATTAGTTGGTTAATGGCTACACCAAAAATCGTCGATGCGCTTTAAATCGCGTTATAAGATGATTAACGAACAAGACTTAAAATGAGATTATTTCCACTCCCGGCATGCAAAAAGACTTAAACTACGTCACATAAGTCAGGAAGTTCGAATAAATTTAATTAATAATTCCCAATTTTCTTCTTTATTGGTGTTCATATCCAGATAAAACTTGGTGAATATGTTTTTTATGGTATTATGAACATAATTAGATGATAAGTAAAAAATCGCGAATTTTCCCTTTAATAAAGACCCATCTAAATTGCATTTAATTGATAAATTCAACAAAACTTATTATTATGGTTATCATGATGATATGTTTTCGTTAAAAAACCAAGAGCTTAACAAATACTGCCGAAATTTATCAAATTGAACTTACTTTGAATAGATCAAATATAAATGGTAATAACTGTCGTTCACTAGATTTAGATATTTCAGTTTCACACGAGAAACTCTACACTAAAATTTACGACAAAAGGGACGATATTTTGTTCCCTATTGTTGTTTTCCTTTTCTGGACGGTGATGTTCCTTTGGCACTATCTTACGGTGTTTATATATCACAACTGGTTCGCTCCCCCCTGTCTGTTGTGACTTTTTGGATTTCAATAAACGTAATCTATGTATAACTGGTAAATTAATAAGCCAGGGAATTTACCACAAATTACTTAAAACTATTACTAATTTCTCCCATAGATATAAAATTTGGTTTTGAAGTTTGGTTGTACTTGTAGAAAAACTATTTGAAACGGAATAGCATTTAATATTTACGAAAATGTTGTTAACCGAGCCCGAAAATTAAGAAACCATCCTGGTAAACCTGTCGATCCTTTAAATAAACTTATTCTAAAAGGTTATCAATCCAACACTGTTAGATCTTTGAATATTGTTTTTATTGGTATTAATATTGTTTTTGTTATCAGTAGATTAAAATCAAACTAAATATTATTTTTATATACATATGCATATGCATGGCTCTACAATCTGTCGATACTTATATCTTGGCATTGTACAAGGTCTTGTCATGTTCTTACTGTTTTGATCACTTGTTGAGACTTGTCTCATTGGCAAGCATACCACATCTTCTTTTTTATATACTCTATGTTTCCATAGGAAGCCGATTGTCTGTGTTGAAAGCATATCTTCTAAACGTAACAAATTTGGTGTAAATCAACAATATTCATCATTTTGATAAGTTAAGTTTCAGTGAAATTTTTGAAAAATAGGAGTTGATTTCCATGTATAATTTCCCAATTGTTCTTTTATAGATTGACATTAAAAAGGATACCTGAAAAACAAATTTACCACGATTTTCTTAATGTATAACTTTAATGGATGAATGAAAAGCACAGATAAAATTAAATTGATAATCAATGTACGTGTTAATCGTAATATTGTTTATACAGCTTGAAAACGAAGACATGAGCCATATTAAATTATTAGTCATTTGAATAGGTTTATAATCTTGTTGTGTCTCTTTTTAATAATTACATACAAAACTAAACATTTATTGCTACCCAGTAATCAACTATAATGACTCTAAAGGTTGCATTTCTGTAAATATCGACAATGCAATTTCCCATAGAAACTCCTTTTACGGCTAAAATTGTACCACTTCTACTATGAAGTTTTGAAAAATATATCCTAGAATGGAAAGTTCATATGCACTACTATTTTTTTCAAAGGTCAAAATATAGGTTTGTGCGGCCTATTTTCAACGTTTATATGCCCCGAACTTCTAAGAGTTTAAACTTACACTAAATTTCTTAACTACCACTACCTTGACTGTAGGATTATCACAGATTTCAATATAAACAGTATGCATATGTATATTTACTGGTAACATTTCCAATTTACGTTTCTATGCGATGAAACATAAAGATCATAACTGGGAACCAGTACGCAAACAAAATTAATTATCTGTGAATATTCTATATCTCCCCAAAAGAGGCGTGGTTTAAGAAACAGCTGTATTTACAAAGTGCAACCTATACAAACATTTATTCAAATAGAAAACTTTCTAAAAACACTTTTTCGCACATTAATACTTATTTATCAGAATTATAGCCTTAAAGAAATCACTGCATAAACTCTAAGTTTTCTTTTACTGTACATTTTATACCTCCTCCCCTGTTTCAGTTTTTTAAAGAATTTGAAAACAAGACTTTAATTATTGCCAGCTAACCCTATTTGCATGTTTTCTGACATGAAATGCCTAGAACCTCTTTAAAACTGTTCTGATAACAAATTGAAAGCTTTTCAGAATACTGTAAATGTAATGTTTAGCAGTCAATCATTCCAACATTCAAGACTATATAAAGTATCAAATCCTGCCTCTTTCTCCAGTCCACATCTTACTGTATGCCTATTTGTCAATTAAAGTTCACAATTTCTGCCTCAAATGGTCAGTTTAGAATTTCACAACAGTATCATCTCTAACCATATACCTGACATAATTTAGCTAATATATGAACTAGTGGTGTTAAAACAAAGCCATATTTGCAATAGTTGTATGTATGCAGATACCAGTCTCATGTATAAATTCACTTAAAATTTTATAGAAATGACTGCTAACATCTGATTTTTGCATAACTTCCAAGCACAGTTATTGTTTTCTTTATAAAGACCTTTAAAATCATAAAATCATAGCATTTACAAGTTAAATTATTTGTTTTATGACCCAGGGGGTAGGCCTTTTTCTCTGTTTTTTGCCCCTGGGACCTCAAATGTTCTAAATTATTCTGGTTTCTAGCAATATGGAATAGTTTAGTACATATTCAGGATAGAACACACTATTGTAAGTTTTGTTGAGATATTTTTGTATTTCTAGTTTGTATTTTTTAAGCGGCGGTGACAAAAAAACAGATTTAGGAGTTACGGGTTACTTTTGGGTTATCGACAGAACAAAAACACCCCACTAATAATATTCAGGAAGGATCTATGAGTTTCAATGACTGCGAAGAGTAAATATAAGCACTTCTAAACAATTTAACTTACAAATATGCATATATTATGAATTTATTTTGCATTCAGGGATTTAAGTAAACTATGCATACTATAATTTGTAAATTAATGCTGAGTCATCATAGTTAAGGCCAAGGATTTTCTCAATCTTCATGAAATATTTATAAAACTTCATATTTGAGTTATTAACATTAAAATCTGTGAGATAAACCAAATTTGCTTACATTCTGTATGTTCTCTTTTTTCACCCAATATAGGTTGCATTTCTGTAAATATCGACAATGCAATTTCCCATAGGAACTCCTTTTACGGCTAAAACTGTACCACTTTTACTATGAAGTTTTGAAAAAAATTATATCCTAGAATGGAAAGTTTATATGCACTACTATTTTTTTCAAAGGTCAAAATATAGGTTTGTGCGGCCTATTTTCAACGTGTATATGCCCCAAACTTCTTAGAGTTTAAACTAACACTAAATTTCTTAACTACCACTACCTTAACTGTAGGATTACCACAGATTTCAATATAAACAATATGCATATGTATATTTACTGGTAACATTCCCGAGTTATGTCTCTATGAAATGAAACATAGAGATCAAAACTGGGAACCAGTACGTAAACAAAACTAATTATCTATGAATATTCTATATCTCCCTAAAAGAGGTGTGGTTTGAGAAACAGCTGTATTTACAAAGTGCAACCTAAATCCTGTTTATACTTACATTGAAGCATGAACAGTATTGCTTTTAAAGATCAAGACCTTATCCAGAAAAAACATGATGTATTTATAAGTTGATATTTGGTTTCTTTTAAAAAACCCTTATTTAATTTTTTTGTCTTATTATCTCTTTTGTATGATTGGTTGTTTAAGAATTGGTTGTTTTTGTACATAATATCGATATGAGGAATCAAAATATTTCAAACAGATTTGTACAGTGTGCTCTTGTGTACAGCGATGTTCTAGATAGGTGAGGGTTGTGGGCTCGAAATATATAACTAAAGATATGTGATACGAATAACAATGACGAACCTACTATCCACTTGACAAAAAATTGACGGGAGTGTAACAACTACAGGACATTGTACGCCCTCCAATTATGTACACAACTCATACCATAAAAACAGCCATAATAGTTATCAAAGGTACCAGGCTTATAATTTAATACGCCAGACGCGCGTTTCGGTTACATAAGACCCATCAGTGACGCTCAGATCAGAAAAGATATAAAGCCAAACAAGTACAAAGTTGAAGAGCATTAAGGATTCAAAATTCCAAAACGTTATGCCAAATACGGCTAAGGTAATCTATGCCTAGGATAAGAAAATCCTTAGTATTTCGAAAAAATAATTTTGTACACGGGAAATTTATAAAGATGACCATATAAATGATATTCCTGTCAACACCGAAGTGCTGACTACTGTGCTGGTGATACCCTCGGGGACGAAACGTCCACCAGCAGTGGCATCGACCCATAAACCTGTTTGTCCCGCCGTTTTCGTCATGATAATCGAAGTTGGAACCTGGAATCCAGTAATTGTCATAAATCCTTGTGTTAGTATAAATCCTGCTGTTGGTGTTCTGTTTTACCTTGTATCAACTTATGACTTCCCGCGGCCACATGTAGATTCAAATAACATTTCGTATAATTTCGTGCTTTCAAATCCTTTTTAACTTTAAATTGTATCTAACACATTCGTTTTACTAATTGTTGAAATCCGTACGATGACCTGTAATGGCTCGTATCCTTGTCATTTGGTTAAAATGATATTTGTCCCATTGACAATCCCAAAACATTCACTTAGGAAACAATTGAAAGTCCTTACGCCGTCTTTGTCACAACTGTTAAAAAAACTATGGTTAAAATTACCCTAAACTTGAGACAAATATGCTCAAGATAAAACTGATTGTAAAATATATTTTTACTGTAATATGTTTTTCAAAACTTTTAAAACGTGATTGAAAGGATTCAGAAAATATGTATCAAATCAGCACATAGGCATCCCATACATTTTGGCAAACAACTGTTGAATCCATCTCATGTCGCTTATAAAAATAAATGAAAAAGCGGAAAATTAAAGATTTAGATCAAACTGACATTGACCTCAGGTTCCAACGACCTACTAATGATACACATTTTTGGTATGCTATAACAAGTTTAAACATTGGAAATTACAAGAAATAGTGTAAGATGAATAAAACCATACAGTTTCGAACAATAGTTAAAAATCATAGAACTGCTTCAAAATAAATGACTAAACCATACAAAGCACATAATTAAAAAAAGTCGATAATTCTTATCATTTCGAAAGGTGTAGCAATGACATTCGAAACACGGTGTTCTCTGCATTATTTTTGTTATTGTTGATAGATGCGGTATGCATGTTTCATAGTTTTTTGCAATTTGGTAAATCCTAATCATCGAGATTAAAAGCCTAGAGAGGTTTGAGTTATCGAAAAACTAGTTGAATCTCACCAGGTATTCATGTGCCTGTCCCAAATTAGAAACCATATCAGCAGATGGCGTGAGTCATACCTACCCCCCCCCCCCCCCCCCGTTATTTCAAGACATTGGTGTTAATCTTTCTTTTTTCAAATCTGTTCACGACACTTTTAGAGATTCATTACGATTTATGGTTTGAACATATTAGATAGATAGCATTCTTTTGAAGAAGACTGCATGTTGTCCTCTGTAATGTGATCTTTTTTAAGAAACAAGATGCATTACCTTTGGTTGATATAGACCTAACCGCTCTGCAGCCATAACACATAATTCTACAAATATTTTGATTCAAAAGAACAGAAGCACTATTACACTTACCAATGGACGTTGAAATGAGAACACTTCCAAAGGGAATGATTTAAAAATGAATGTCTGAAGTAGGATAACTGTTCAATACTACATACCAGAAATCATGTCGGACTAACATTGAACTTTTTTTCCTCCTAAAAAATTGTGGAAATCAATATTTTTTTTATATCACAGAGAAGCAAATAATATGTTTGTCCATAAACTCATCAAAGATACCAGAATTGAAATTTTTTATTAACTCCAGACGCACGTTTCGTCTACAAAAGACTCACCAGTGACGCTCGAATAAAAAAATGTAAGAAAATCAAATAAAGTACGAAGTTGGAGAGCATTGAGGACCAAAAATTCCTAAAAGTTTTGCCAAATACAGCTAAGGTAATCTATTCCTGAGGTAGAAAAGCCTTAGTATTTCAAAAATTCAAAGTTTTGTTGACAATTTATAATTATGAACATATCAATGATAATTCAAGTCAACACAGAAATGCTGACTACTGGAC